ATTGCTGCCCTTGCGTCGGGGCCGCTTCGTCCCCGCGGGGATGGATTTTCCCGTGACACCCAAGTCGTTGAGGTCCACAGGGGAGGCGGTAGTCCCGGTTGAACTGAAGGCAGCCTGTGCTTCGATCGCAGGAGACGTCAGAGGGCTGAAAAACTCGTCTGCCAGCCCGTAATCGGACATGGTAAATCCGCCGTCCATTGGAGTTTGCGCAGGAGAGACCAGAGGGGTAAATGACACCTGAAGAGACCGTCAGCAAGATTTGAGTGTCAACTCTGGGCACGTTCGGTGCGTTACCTGTTGGTGGTCGAACAGAATCTGTCCGTTGTTTCCCATCTGTTGCGCATATTTCCCTGGATGCATCTCGGCACTGACAGGCGTAGGAGGCACATGGTACTGTGGTGCCATCTGCATTTGCTGATATTGCGGGTATTGTCCGTACGGCTGGTTCGTCGACAGCTGGGTGCGGTAATCGATTGGGTCGCTGGTCGGCGTTACATGGACGCTCATCTGTTCGGCAGCAGAGAAACCCAAATCGGCTGAGCTGTTCCCAAATCCCAAACGACCCATTGGGGTGTCGAGGCCGGAGTGGCCATTGTTCATGGCGGCATAGTGTTGGAAGTCGGTGTCGAGGTCGAGGAATTTTGTGAAATCCTCGTCGCCCACTCCAGCCACCATGCCGTCATCTTGCATCTCTTGAGCCCATATGACATTCTGCTCGCGGTCTTGTTGAGTCATCCTCGAGGCTGAGGATGTGAGGTTTGAGCCCGCAGGTGGGCTGCGGGAGGTGGTTGACGGAAGACACGACGTGTCACAGCAGGTTCATTTTCGAATTGACAAGACAGGAGCTGCCCACTTTGAGGTTGGCCGGAACAGTAATCGCGATGCCGAATAGACCGACCGACCTGGTTGATGATTGTAATTAGGCGAAATAGACACAGCGCAGCCTCGCGAAGAGACGAATGGAAAAGAGACAAGGCCGTGGTACGTTGGACAAATGCGCTGAAAGGCAAAATTCGAGGTTGGCGGCGGTAGCAGTCAAATGCCCACCATGGACTTCGGTACAGCATCAGTTCGCAGGGTGAAAGGGCAGAGGAGGCGGTTGGATGGTCTGGGCTCCACCCGGCGGGGTTGTGCGTTTTTGGGGGAGGGATGGCGTGGGTAAGTTCTACTTTGACTTGCAGTGAGCGTGCAGTAGGCGGACAATGGCGTGGGCATTGACCAGGGGTCTTAGCTCGAGAAGGACGCTGACTCGCTAACTGACCGCTTTAGAGTGGGTGTGGGACGAGAAGGAGTCGGCTGGCTGGCAGTTTAGGGCTTCGGGATGATCGAACTTGTACCTCGTAGAAAGGTTAGAATCGAGGGACCAGAGGGTCAAACTTCGGGGTCCAGTGAGGCACCGAGTGAGGTCGGTGCGAGCCAAACCCGTCATGGTGGGTAGACCTCGTAAGATGTCATTCATCAGACAGGAATCATGTGGACCGTTGATGATCTGTATCTGCTCTGATCTCATGAGCATCTCTGAACACCTCTGAGCATACCCTAACCAGATGTCGGGTGCGACATGAGAGGGTGAGATTCTCGTATACGAGATGCTTGTAGGCATGGTGCTGTCGATGAAGCTCGACGTTATAGGTCAAAGGGCGAAGACTCATTGGTCGGACATTTGTTTGGAGGCGAGAGTGGGATGAAATTTAGTCACGAAGTACCTTGTTGGGTAGAGGAGGGTTTTCCTTTAGGGGATCGAGCGTGCTAGGAAGGCATCGATTCAGCCTCTCTTCACCAGCCCACAAGCCCGTCAACCCACCAGCCTTCATATTATTCCGAGGGAAGAGAATGTGCCGGCCCTAACTTCATCGCCCAGACCTACCGAGTACATCTATTAAGTGGCGACGATGTACCCAGGTATGAGCAAGTCTCACAGTCAGGCATGGGGTTCTTAGCTGCGCCTGGCTCCAACATCCAGCACGCAGAAGATGTGGGAGGGGCGCAGGCGGGAAGTCATTTTCCCGAGCCCAGTTGAGGTACGAGCCATCAACCTGCGTGTGTTCTTCCAGGCACAGGGATATACGAGGCAACGCCTAGTTGAGCCAGGCGCTCCCAGGAGGCTTCTTTCACAGTAATAACAGAATCACTTCAGGTGGTTGCAGCCACCTAGCAGGCGCCTGGCCACTACCACGAGGAGGAACCTCGAATCACAGACAAGGGTTTGTGCGCCCGAGGGAGGGGTGTGGGAGGGGATTTAGTTAAAGGCGTGGGGCCCACCCGCCGGACAATGCCCTGACAAACATCCTAGGTACGGCCACCCTGCCACTTGCGCTCACAAAGGTCGGTATAGGGTAATCACCTGTTCCTCTTCTCGCGCCCCTCAACCGTACATCCTACTCGATGCAGTGAGCCGAATACTATTTTTTCCTTCTATGTGTGTTGTTCGAGTTCCACTCTGGGCTCACTGTGCTCAACCCACCTCGCTCCACCGAATCAAAATTTTCTAAGTGCCATCTGGATCTCGAAACAGCACACGCCACACCACTGTTCATTCGCACATTGCGCCCTACTCTTTGATTGGTCTCCGCGCTCGTCTACCACTCAGGCTGGACGATCTGACTGTGCGACATGAGGTCGATAGACTCCATCCAGATTTGACAACCCTTTTGGTTGATGGAAGTTTCCATCTTTGCGCTTTGGCCCCCTTTTCCCTTGGTCGACCACTTTGCTCGTATTAGCCGACTAATACGAGCACTCGCGCACAGGGATCTATCTGGTACGAGAGCTTTCCCAAAGTAGCTACAGGAGGTTACCCTTGGGTGTGTGCTTCCTCACCACGACCTAGCCTGGGACACCATGCCATCCAAGCCTAAGGCGTTCCTCAAACAATCAAAGCTGAAGAAGAAAGCAGAACAAGTGAGTTTAATCAAAACCCCGACTGGTTGAAATTAATCAATCATATAGGCTCTTGAAACCGTCGATGATTTTCAGGCAGGTTGGTGGTCGCATGAACACACACCCCTAGGCAAAGTGTCCCGGCTGATCCCTTGTTAGCTGGAGTGGACTTTGAAGAAGCCGCAGGGAAATGGAGGGCTGGAGATGCCGTCAAGTCAATGCGTTTCTTTTTAAGAGCCGTCGAGACATATGACCAGGGTTTGCGATCCTACCCGAACAGCATTGATCTCGCCTACAATAAGTCTGTTGGCCAACTGCCTCTTTGCTTCTGCTATAAGGCTGACCTCTCGCTAGAGCTAGAGTATTGCTGGAAATCGCAACGCATCCTCTTCTTGTGCCACATCTGCACCGGCCACTTCTCGAGATTTTGCAACAGGCACTGGAGGCGCATCGTTACGCCCTCACCCTGGATCAGGACAACCCAGATACTTTGTTTAATACGGCTCAAGTTCTGACCGCTATCGCCGAAGTCTATGCCAAAGGCTCTGATCATGCTGATCAGGATGTGCTGCAACTACTCGAAGAAGCGTTGGAGCTTCAAAATCGTTGCTTGAGCATTCAAGAGCTCAGACTCGAGGAATACGTGCGTCAGCAGGGTGAGGCGGCGGTCCAACTCGCATCAGAAGATTCAACTGAACCGATTGCCAATTTGGACGATGCCGCCGACTCCGGTCCTTCTGCAGTCGGCACTGAAGACCAATGGTTCTCAGTCGTAGAGCCAGTAACGAAAGATACCCTTATTGACACTGTTCTTGCGCAGCTTGGGACACTCACTACCCTCAGCAGCTTTCTCAGTTCCTCAGACTCCGTTCCCACCTCCAGCTTGGCTTACATTGAAGAATATTCTTCCAAGTTGGTCAAGATAAAACTGCCTCCGCTGCTTCAAGATGCCGAGCCAGAGAGACTGCAAGAAGTTGCACTTGCTCGGGCGAATCTGGTATCCGAATTGCTCAAGGCAGGCTATCTATTGGGTGCAATTGACCCAATTACCTACAAGCGGGAGCGGGATGAAGCATTTCAAGTGCCTGAACTGGACCTGGAAAGAAGTTTTGCTGCGTTGCTAGCCAATGCAAACAGTCTCATTGCATTTAACTCTGCTCTTGCGGACGGCGAGCCCTCCCACGCCGTCTCCCATGCTTCCATGCGATGGAGCGCTCTTTCTGCAGCAATAGCCAATATGGCTAAAGCAGCTAAGATTTCCGGTCCTTTACCCGAAGACCTCGCTGAAACCCATTTCATTCGGGGGAACTGCTCGCTTCTGCAACAGCAGCTAGGACAACCACCAATATCCTTTGACGCCGCCATCACGAACAGGCCACAGCTCCTGAAGAATGCAGAGACTTTCTATCGCAATGCCAGCAAGCTCTATCAGGATACAGAGCAGAAAGCTGTGTCGCAACTGCGGGCCATCGTTGTCCAGGCAATTCAAGCTCAGAATGATATTGCATCCATTGCTTTTCAATATGACCCGGGAAGAGGCCAAGAATGGATCAGAGATCAACTTGATGACATGGTCGACGATGGACTCATTCCGCCCCGGGCTGGGACTTTGTGAATTGTTCAGCCTCCCCTTTGCTCTGCCATTGAAAAGTCGTTACAAGAAGGCCTGGATACTCAATCTTTAGCGACAAATTCAGGACCTGGGAAACAATCAGAAATGACTGAGAAGTTACCGCGGTTACTATTGCAGATGGAGCAACTTCTGTTCCCACATCGTTCCTTTTCTATCTGCTCCGCTCCTGATTTGCGTAACATGTGCTAGTGACTGCTTTCACTTTTTTCTTTTTGTACTGGCATGTACTGCAACAATGGCGAGTTGGGCAACTGAGCTTTCCAGCTTACTCAGGGCAAATACATCTTGTCTATTATACAAAAAAGAGTCGTTGTTGGCCAGTCCCTGGGGACAGACGTGCTCTTTATTTACCGGACAGAAAGGGTCCGGTATTATTCACGCAGGCGCGTTTGTTTATATTTTCACAGCCAGTTCATGCCTTTTCCTCCAAAAAATTCGTCATGATGCCCTAGAGTCAACCAATTCTTCGAAAGAAACATGGACAATGATGGAGGCATGCATGCCGCGTTTCAAGCGTGCTGATGGCACGGACACGAGAATATCTTACCACAAAGCCGAGCTTGTAAAGGTGCAGAGTCTCTTTTATGCACGCCGCTACAAGCAGTGTATTGCTCTCTGCGAAGAGCTCCAGAGGTCAGAGGTACGTCGCGTTCTCAATTGTGCAATCCCACGAGGTTCTAATGTCCTGACTGTCTCAAGATTCACGCCCTACACAAGGCCTTCCTCTGGTTTTACCATGCCACCTCTTACGAGTCGATGGGACTGATTGCGCACAACCTCTCTGGCAGCAAACTACATTTTCTGGATTCTGCCAGGGAGAGCTTCGGGCAGGCTCTGAAATGCATTCCTTTGCCATACGTATCGACAGAAGCGGGATCTTACGAGCAGGCGGGGAATTCACCTGTCACAACTGATTCTGGGTCTCTATCCATCAAACGAGCATGGAAAGCGGGTCGAAGAGAAACATCCGCAACTGGCTGTGTCACAAAACTATCATCTTCCGTTTCGTCTGGCAGCATTTACTCGATACAAAGCTCGACCTCAGAGGGAGAATCTATTGCGGATCAAAACGAATCACCATCGCAACAGCGAAAATATCAAGGGAAGTCGATACCAGACCTCCATGTCGATTTAAAAGAAGGAGCTTCAGAATACAACCCAGCGAAACAACCGGCCACACCAGCTGCCCGGGCACCATACCAGTCTCGACTACAGCACAGCTTCAGCTCCAGGCAAGTATTGCAAACCAACTTGATACCATCGCCTCTATTCAGCCGGAACCCCAAACGTGCGTCTTCATTGCTCCTTGACATCACTGATAATAGTCGACCGCTTCCCCCTTTGCCATTCAATCACAGAGCCGACTTCAAAATCCAAGGCACTCGCATCATTCAGGACCCTCTCATGCGCAAAACCGCGGTTCAAACACTTATCGCACGCTTCGAAGGAATTCTGCCACTGCCTCTGTCACCTCCTTCACCGAGGGCACAATCCCCCTCGAGAGAGCAGATTTACGGACGGGAGACCGCGGCGGCCTCCCCTGATGTCGCATCTCCACGATTCAGAATGATTCGCGATGCGTTCAGTCCGGACCCACACAATGAACATCTCGATATGTACCTCAACAGCTACGCTTCACCTGCGCTGTCGCTTTACAACGCGCATTTAGCGGACTTTCGTGCCCAGCTAAGAAAGCACATTGCCTATGTAGATGGAGAAATTGGTCGAGTACAGAAAATCCAAGGCGAGAGGAGCGCCGCCAGGACCTTGGGGCCGAAGCAGAGGTTCGCAAGTTTCTGGTCGTTCGAGGTCGCTTCTACTATTTCAACATCGAAGGTGGCCCCGAGATCAGCATGTGTACGTCGAAGTGATGACCTCGTGGGGGACGGATGTGACCACCCTTCTCGTTGCGGAGAATCTCGAGGCAAAATCAAGGAGAAGATCGATGAACTGAGACGCCAAGGCTGGAAAGTATGCAAGGAAAGACATGGGTTCAGAGGCATGGGATTCTATGAGAACTTTAGAAGACATGTCGAAGCGGAACTGGAGGCTGGCCATTAATCTGGATCACAGGACACGAAGGGAGGGGAAGATACACGATTGCGCACGAACAAGAGCAAGTTGATCGCGAACGCTGTTGAGGCTGGTAAAGCAGTCCTGTGTTAGAGTGAGTAACTTACCCATCGAGCCCATCCCAGGTTCACGGGACAGACTATGGGCGGAGCGGATCATTGTTCTAGCAGAGATTGGGGAATTGTTCAAACGAGGACTACATCCTGTGGAAGACAGACGAGGAACTCGTACGGGGTACTCAGTGCCCATAAGGCTCCCATGGGCTGCCAGCAAGGATGGAGGAGCAGTGCTTCTTGGCATACGACATTCCTTTGTGGAGCTGCACAATAATGCAGGGCCACAGGGCCCCCACGCCCCTCAGGGTCTGGGGCCTCACCAGGCTGTGCCAGGCACTGCCAGGCACCTCCAGGGCTTCCTGCCGTGCCACGACGCCCACAATACCAAACCTGACGTAGCTAGCGAGACCCAAGACCACGACAAGTTCCTTTCAGCTCTACCAGGAGCTATGTGAATGAGTCTGCGATGATGGCAAACGCCAGTCGTAGGTGACAATCCTCCTGGACGATCCTTCTACTTGTATGGCTGAGCGGTTGGTGCAGTGCTCCCTAGTGACACACCCCTACTGCCAGCATTACTTTGCAACTTTTCTGGATCCTGTGTGATAGTTGCCAATTCCCACATCCAATATGCCTGAATTCCGCCCCTCAATGCCTCTCCTTCGCTCATTCTTCGTGAAATGAACTTGAAGACTGTCATCATCACCTCAACGTGCCTCTTTCCACTGGACACCTGTCGCAACACTATCGCAGCCTCCCTTTTGACCCTGCGCCACCCGATCCCCCAGCGACCTGTTCCGTGTACGGGAAGGAAGAAAATACACACAAAATGATACCACGTACAAGTTTGGGCCATCAACTTCCCCTTCGTGCTGGAGGGGGCGGCCAGACGTCAGAGGCTGCCAATGGTACTGCCTTGGAGCCTTTCTCGGAAGCCGTCCTTTCCCACCTCGTTTCGGCGAGTAGAGACATCTCGTCACAAGATGGGGAAACATTCACCGATGAAAAGTCGTTCTTGACATACATGGCCTCAGACAAGTCAAACGCAATGTCGGCACCTGTGCACAACGATCTGAGCTATCCCATGTCGTCTTATTTCATAAGCTCCAGCCATAACACCTACCTTTCTGGTCACCAGCTCTATGGTGACGCCTCTGTGTACGCCTACACCAATGTACTCACGCGCGGCTGTCGGTGCTTGGAGATAGATGTGTGGGACGGCGAGAGCGACTCTGAATCCAGCAGCTCAGAAGGCGACGAGGATAAGTCTACTAAGTCTGACCTAAAGCAGTCACGCTGGAACAGGGTCAAAGCTCGAGCAGCACGAATGCGCTCGAGCTCTCGCTCAGAATCGCATGCGGCCAGCACGAACATCAGCTCCACCTTACCAACTGCTTCACCCGGGACTCAAACCACAGAATCGCTGAATGGGACTGACAGGTCGGGCTCACCACGAAAGACTGAGTCGTCCTCACTTGACCCAAATCGTCTTTCGCCGCACCCTTCGCCCCCTCTATCTGATAAAAGAGAGCCGCGAGTCCTCCATGGCTACACTTTAACCCATCCTATCACCTTTCGCGCCGTCTGCCACGCTATCAGAGATTCGGCTTTCGTGAGCACAGAGCTGCCGTTAATCGTGTCTCTTGAAGTGCATGCCTCCCTTGTCCAGCAAGAGGTCATGGTCGAGATTATGCGCGATGTCTGGTCCGAGTTTCTGGTGAACCTCCCTAAAGGAACAGACGTTTCAGCGCTTCCTTCTCCAAAGTCGCTCATGAAGAAAATTTTAATCAAAGTCAAGTGGGTTCCGGACTCCCAGACTGGAGAGTCCAATGATCCCATTGAACATGTGAGCTCAAATTCCTCCGAGGGCGCGGGTGTCGATGCGATATCGACCTCCTCAGAGAAACGAAAGAAAGCCTCCAAAGTGCTGGCTGCGCTCTCGGAACTAGGGATTTATACTCGGGCCTATACGTTCAAGCATTTCTCACAGCCCGAAGCCACTATCCCAACACACGTTTTCAGCCTGTCCGAGAGCAAGGCCCGGGATATGCAGGATGACCCGTCCCACGGTCCCGCGTTATTCAAGCACAACAGAAATTTCCTGATGCGTGTGTTCCCCCGGGGGACCAGAATTAACAGCTCAAACGTCGATCCGATCTTCCATTGGAGACAAGGCGCGCAAATGGTGGCTCTGAATTGGCAGAAGTTGGACATGGGAATGATGCTCAACGAAGGAATGTTTACTGGGACGGGTGGTTGGATTCTCAAGCCGGAAGGTTACCGCAGTACAGCAACAGACGGGGTTTCAAAATTGCAAGAGGGAGTTGAGCCCAAACGGCAACGGCTAGACCTGGAAATACGACTCCTCGCAGGGCAGAGACTTCCGGTATCCACGGATAAAGACTCCTCACACGGTCCCAAGATGAAACCGTATGTCAAAATGCAACTACACGTCGATTCACTTTGCTCTCCCGACCCCAGCAAGGCCTCGGGTTTGGGCAAACCCAAAGACGAACCCGAATCACATAGCGGTGAAGATGTCGACTCCGGCCTTTTCAAACATAGGTCCGCTACCGGCCGCACCGACTCTCCTGATTTCCGTCGCGAGTTAATGAGTTGGCCGAATATGTCAAATGTTCTTCAAGAACTGAGCTTCATCCGGTACGTACCTTTTTGTTTATCCCTTCCTGGAATGTCTTGCTTCATGTCCAAAGTTATTTTGTCCCTGTAAAAAAGATACATGCGCGACTGTACAGAGGGCATGTTTGTCACGCCACTGTCTGCATGGCGGAAAGCGACAAAGGTTCTCTTAATGCCTCGGTCTACATCATTTTCACCGCAATTTTCTCCTGGTCTGGCACTGCTTTACTTGTACCCCCGTTTGACCTGTCTTCTGTCCGCATCTTCCCGGGATACCGACGAAGGTTTCGTTGCGCATCTCCATGTTCAGCTCACACCGAGCAGCAAAAGTAAGCCAGAGGCTTTCCGGTGGCTGGCATGCTGGGCTGTTAAGTTACGGGTAACGCTTGCATGATGAGCTGGGCGACACCCTGCGTCTCCACAGGACTGCTAGTCTGCAGCACCTTGGATTCATGGCGAGGAAAACGACCTCCGATTCGGGCCTGATCAAGGGCCTGATCGAGAGGCTCGAGCCTCCCAGGGCTGCCGATGCACGACCAGGAGCTGCTGCAGGATTGTGTGACACGCATGCGATCTTCCTGTACGATCGTGTTACACAGCATGTTTGACATTCGCCTGCGCACACTCTTCTGCACCGAGCATCATTTTCTACGTGACAGGTCACATTGTGGCTGCAGAGGGCTGCAGAGAAGTTGAACTTTTCTAATTCTGTGCATAGACTAAAAGTCATGGACGACCGCTCGCTTTCCAAAGATAACATACTGGCATGGGCCTGCATTCGACTCGACCGCCTGCAGCAAGGGTATCGATTCATTCATTTGCTCGATTCGTCAGGAATGCCATCACACGGTGCACTGCTTGTTCATGTCTGTAAGCGCACGAATTGAGTGGTCGGCCGAGATGTGGAACCCCCTGGTTTACCTTCCCCGCTTGAGCAGAAGGCTCTCTTGGGAATGATCCCACTACCATCATGTGGTTTGCGAATGCAGGTTTGGCAGGCATCTGACGGCCCACGGGGAGAGGTGCGGCCGGACTACTTCGTACGCCTATATCATTGCCCTTTGCAGAACAACGTGCATGAACTCTCAATTTTTTCCACCATACTCCCGAGGACAATTAAGGGCGAAGAATGCGGGTCCAGAGTCTTGGTACCCCTGAGTCTCCAGGATTAGACCACATCGTTTGATCCTGTGCAGCCAATGAAAAGTGCTGGACGAATTTGCAAGAGTCTCGGTCCAAGACTCTGCTGTTAGCGCTGATTCCGACTGTTTCTTGGGCCAGCAAGCCAGGCTCTCCTGGAACATGACTGTACTACGAGTACTCGGTCGGTTTGGTTGGCGCGTGGCACTGAGTCTCCGAAGAAGGAGGATCGGCTCTTTGCTCGTATTTTCCACGTAAGAAACTTTGGCTTCTTGGCCCCCAATGCCTGGTGCACAATCCCACTATGAATGAAGCCTCGACCGGTCCACGGATGGCAAACACGGCTCGTCACAACGCCTGCGAAATCGAGCCTCTGTTTTTTATGTCGTTACAATCTCGATGCCGTGCACAGACTTTGCTGGAGGCCGAGCTTATCGGGAATGGCATACCCACCTTAGATGCGGACTGAACCGTCATTCGCCAGGATTTTCTTTTCAGCGCGATTGGAATGTCCCTACCAGGTGACATGACAGGTGGGACTGCTTCTGACTTACGAGTATCTGTCGTCGCACATGTGGCGAGTGCAGCCATTTCCCAGCCAGACACGTTCGGAAAACAGACTGGTACCTTTGAACCCAGATATTCCGCTCTTGAACGATGACCCGCCGGTTGTCTGGTGAGACTTCAGCTTGCTTGATGACTGGAGGCCACGACTTGTCAACGCAGTCGGCAGAAGGTCGTTCCATTTCCTCACATGGCACCGGGCGAGGATATAGAGTCAGCAAAATCCGAAGGCCGGGGTTAGAACGACTACTTTTTCAAGGCAGCATGCATACCGGTGGGTACGGACCTCCTGCTGGACCTTGCCAGTCCTTGGAACTTTTGAGTTCCACGGACGGATATGAGGTTCCTGTGCCGGCCAGATTTTCGGAGCTCATGTTTGGGTAATTAGAGGATATATAATGGTCAACAAGTCACTACTCCGGCCAGCCCTATGTCCATTTCCTTCTAGCGGAACCTTGTTGCGACTCCAAGGTGCAGATCCAGATTCCTTCAGAGGCAGTCTGAATACCCACGTCGATATCTCGTCCTCGGCCCACGCATCATGGCCTTTACAAGGAGGACCCTCGACAGCGTCCCATCCTTCAAGATGGAATCGGCGAACCCGATCACTCGGCCTCAGAGCCGTCCGAATCTTATCACAAGACCGGTGACTACCATTGTTGGAAGCATAGCCCAAGCAAGAAGCTGATGAATTCGAGGTGAAGATGAACGGAGTACGGTGCCCCCGTTGCAAAAGCCAGGGAGCAGAAGTCTGGGTCATTCCGTAAGTTCCCTCTGCTCAAGGGTTTCTATCCTCTTCGCAGCAGCCACTGCGCCTCAACAGCAGCAACAATTGAACCAGGCTGACAGATAGTTGCAGCGGCACTAGATGCCACAAATGTGGGCATCCCTGTTAAAAAGAGGGCCTCGAATCCTGTTGTCGAATACGATCATGCTAAGAAGATTCCCTGTACAAGGATGGACCGACTAATCCAAGGGCTGCATCATGGTGAGGGGCAAGGGGCCAAGTACTCTTCAGGGTAATGGTGATGCAGATGCTTCTGTGCGGTGTCGAAGTTGGCCTCCATGGCAATGGATGCTTGCTATGGGGGAGGGGGAAAGATTCCCGCGGCGAATCCGAACACGGGAAAGGGTGCACACGCGCTGTGCGTCGGAGGACACCTAGATTGTCTGGAGGATATGGCCATCCGATTTTTTTCAGGGCATGTAGTTATAGATTCAGGATTGAGAAGCTTGCGGCACACTGATCTCCGGATCCCGACTTCTCTATCAGGATGCGCGATTAGGGACGGGCCGGTTGATGACGGGATGAAGTAGGGGGGAAAGAGAATAGACGTCGTGTTACGAGTGGCCGCAGGGAATTTTTGCGACATCCTAATGCTCTTTGGGGCGAGTGCGCAAGTGATCAACGCATGATGGATGAGGGGCGTGTGGTAGGATTTCCAAAGGCCGAACAAGCACCGTCGATTTTCTGCAAGCATGCTAGCTCACTATGAGAAATAGCTTCATCGAGGGGGGGGGAGGGGTTCAGACGGCATTCTTGAAACTGGTCTGTTCTGGGATGGTGTTTCTCGGAACTATTGTGGTTCTCGAAGGGTTGGGAACGATGTCTGCCAGAGCCCAAGTTGTCTTGGTTGTGATGGTGGAAGCGCGATTCCGCCCAGACTTACGCGGAGCCAGTAGCCAATAACAACACACATAATCTGCTTGGCATATACCCCACCGGAAAAGCCAAGTTTCAGTTCGAACGCAACTCGCAAGCTTTGCCAGGCTGCGCCCATGGCATCGTCGTCTCCCCCCTTCGATGACAAACACACCGACACACAGTCATAGCTCGCTCACGACGACCGCCTCGTCGGGCATTGCCAAAAGAAGCCATCGACGACTTGCGCCCTCCGTCCTCGCAGTGGCACATCGGTGCTGTTTTCTCGCTCAGTTTGCTGCCCATATGTCTATGAGCAACCGCAAAATCGCTCTTACGTGACCACAAGTCATTGAGTATTGTTAGCCTCAGCCGGTGCTTGGCAAGGCTGTTTTTCTCGCCCTCAAGAAGGCCATCAACCACGTTCCTATCTTTTGCTCACCTCTGTATTTCCTTACCCGCTCGGAAGGGGTGAAAGCCAACTTTTGAAAACGTCAGCTCGGCAGCGAACCGAGGCCGTTTTCTTCCACCACCCCCCAAAACCGTCCCACCACTCTCTAAAGGCACACCACTCGCCCTTCCCTTGATCCGGTCTAGACACTCCTTCACCACCCCCCTCGTATAGCCTGAGCGACACTCTTACGGGTAACCCGCCTCATTTGTGTTGTTTCAAGAGCTCAGCTATTCCATTACAAACCTCTCGGGACTTCTGAGAAGACGAGTAGACGTTTAACGATCCTCGGCCCGTCCTGAAACACGGTTTGATTGGATTTCTGAGGCTCCCACCAGTTGTCCAGGACCCTGATCGGTCAAAAACCCCACATGTCCTCTCAAAAGTTCGAGTTGTAACCATCCATATTCCTGAAACAAGTCCAGGACTGCTATGATCTGTCACGCCACCAGGGCCTTGCGACTATGCCTAAGCCAAAAATTGTTCTTTACGCGGAAGCCCTGACCCACATCGGGCAATTAACTCTGCACGCCTCTCTACAAACGGAGAAGAATGAACACACGAAAATACTACTTTCGTCAGACAAGAAAGTCATCACCGCCCTTCACGACGGTGAATCTTCCAGCATCTATCTCCCAACTCAGATTTCGGGCACTGCTCACGTCACATTTCCCATTGATAAGAGGACAGAAATCTCGACTCGGTTGCAGATCGACGACGTTGGGCAGCTAAAGTCTGCAAGTGATGGATTGAGCGATATCGAAGCACCTTGGTCTGCAGTCAGCCTGCATAGACATAGTTCTATTTCCTGCAGCCAATGCGAGGCTACTATTCTGATGTCGGACAAAGTCGTCACCTGGAAAGATTTGCCAAGCGAGAACTGGGCCGAGTTGATGGACTTTTGGTTCTGCCACAAACCTCATAACAAGCCGTCTACGCATGATCAAACAGCCCATTCCGCGAACATCGCCGCAAAGGGTAGAGTCACTCCCTCTCCTGGGGTGGGTTTAGTGGATACCGTTTCGTTTTTCTTGTGTGGAGAAGATTGTGTGAATATCGAGGTGAGTTGAACCACCACTGAATCCCTAGCAGCAAAGCCTGCGGTCGTCATCGTCGGCGTAAAGAAAGAAGCTTTTCAGGTGTCAAAACCAAGAATCTATTGATCTAGTTTCTGATACATTCGCCGCACATCAAATCTATGATCGGTGACCTGGTGGTAGTATCAACCTCCTTTTCAGTGATGGATGCTCTGCCGCTCGGGACCACACCACACCTCCTCATTTCACCTTGGCGCTTCTGAGCCGCACTGTGCGAAGGGATATGTGCGAGGTACATTCCAGCTGACACACTCTCTCTTCAGGTGACCAAGGATGCTACGAAGGAAGGCGTCGATAGTCTTCGTTGCCTTGCTTGTAACGGCTGGCTCGGATCTGGCGCAGCGGGTGAGAACAACTACCGTCTTTACAAGTCCAGGTTAGCAGTAGTTCCAGAGCAAGGCCAACCGCCCGAGCGATTCCCGGCAGCTGTCTTTCTGACCGCTCAGCTGCTGTCACTCATTGGGAGCTCCGTCAGTCGTAGGGTGGTCGTCCATGACGACAAGCCATCTGAGTCCGAAAGTGGGCGTCCAGGTCTTCTCCTCTGGATTTTCAATCCTGATATCTATTACTCCAGCAGTAAACGTGGACCCACTGCTCACCGGGCCATGAAGGTATTTTACAAATCGCTTCCTAACCCAGAGGAGTTTCTGGATGGTGCTGGTTCGAACTGTGAAGAGCTTGTTGTTCCCGAAGAAGACTTTTCCGACTTCAGACGGACCTTGGAAGAAAGCACAGAAATCCTTCCCCCATCGGCGCGAACCTTTCAGGAGTGGGACGTCGGTCTTCTGGATCGTTGGGAAAAGAATGCAACAGGCTCTGCGAGGATGGATGAAAACCCCTTGAACAAGAAGGTGGAAGAAGGATTCGAGTTGTTCAAACTGCCGGCAGGAATGGAAGAGCTTTATCTTTGAGAATGGCAGTCTCGAAGTTCATTCGCATCACTCGAGCGCTGATAACCGAACGCACCAGCGTACCGGTTATTATCTGACTTGGACTAAATGGCTTTAGACGCAACTCGCGGTGGTATGATTCTGGTTCGCCACTTTACCCAGGTACAGTGCTTCTTCACCGCTACGAATTGCAGCAATGAAGAGCCTGAATGCGCACAGAGAGCAAACACAGGATATTGACGTTCGGTGCAGGATCGAGATGCCATTTTCCGGCGCATCTATATTCATTCTAATGCTATCCGTGGGGGCATGACTTGGCCTTGGGACGTCTGTGGATGCTGCCGTTGATCCATGTAACATGACAGAATGGACCAGAGTGTTGTGAGCTACAGCCACGGTCTCTTGGTACATTACTGCAAGAGACGATAGCCCGCTGTCCGCACTCATTCTATGAGTAGCAAGTACAAGCTGTTGTCTCGATTAGAGCGATGGCGCCAAAGTGACCACTTTGCATCCAGGGTTGCATTTCTACGAACACAGAGGGTTGAGTAACCATATATCCTCACAAATATAACACCATTAGAAGGTGACCAGTCGGGTGTCGCCTATGATGGCAAGACAGCCAGAAACCGTATGAATGATTATTCGCTCTCGACAATTCTTGTCCTTCTGATGAGATTATCGGTCCTGACCCTGAACGCAGATGATGCACATGTCAAATGTCGCAGATCATTTTGTTTCACAACCGACTCTCATTGGGCGGTTACTGTCCTAGAAGATATATCTGGTCAATGTGAACTTTACTGGTCAATCACGGATAAGCTATCCTCGCTCAGGCAGAGCGAGTAATATGCAAAGCAATTATTCTAAACACGAGAGAGGCGTATAGGTGAGCGGGAGCCTCGTAGCCTCGCAGTCTCGCCAGTTGCACTCGAGGGATGTTCTTGGCGGGGTCGGCTAACTTGCCCATATTGAGATTTCCGGCCTAGACCGATTACGGACTTGCAGCTTGGCCCATCTCGACATCACGGTCCGCAGAAAGCTCAATCGGAGCTTGATATTGCTCACTGGCATTCTCTTCCAACATCACTGAGCTCGCCTTAACCATGAGTGCCCTCCGACTGTCCCGAGCAGCGCTACGCGCCAGGTCTACGATTGCCCTGAAACCGATCCAGCGACGAGGGTACGCCGAGGCCGTCTCCGACAAAATAAAGCTCTCCCTGGCCCTTCCTCACCAGGTATGTCCGCCAGAGTTCCCTGGCCCGCAAAGCAATAGAAGGACGATTGTACTTGGAAGAGCTGAACTGACAATTTGGTCGATTATCTAGTCCATCTATTCTTCACAGGATGTGTACGTTCCCAACAGCCTCCTCGAACCCAGGGCAAGAATCCGCGCCAAAAGATCCGAGCTGACAGCGCCTCCTACAGTGTACAGGTGAACATTCCCGCCGAGTCCGGAGAAATGGGTATCCTTGCGCAGCACGTTCCATCCATTGAACAGCTGAAACCGGGCTTGGTCGAAATCATCGAGGAGAGTGGTGGAAGCAAACAATTTTTCCGTACGTTCCTAAGTTAAAAGAAGGGTCTACACTATAAGCTAAGAGAATCAATCACTAATACCAACTGGCTTGCTGGCAGTTTCGGGAGGCTTCGCCGTCGTTCAACCAGACTCTGTGCTGAGCATAAACGCCGTCGAAGGTTTTCCCCTTGAGGACTTTAGTGAAGAGGCGGTTAAGTCACAGATAGCGGAGGCTCAAAAGATTGCTAGTGGGAGTGGAAGCGAGCAAGACATTGCGGAGGCTAAGATTGAGCTCGAGGTGAGAATATACAAGCTGGGCTACCGAGTGATGCGCTGACAACATCTTCACACAGGTTCTCGAGTCGTTGCAAGCTGCAATGAAGTAAGAGGTTGATTCACTACGCTTTGTACATATAGAGTAAGGCGGAGGGATCACCGGAAAGGAGAAGTGCTATCCAGGTCTCAGATGGCTTGAATTGAACAATTTCCGTGTGCTACTTGACTTTGTTCGTGTTCTCTTTCTCTACAACAGTTCAGCAGCAAATTGCCTTTGTGTGCGAGAAGGTGCTTGGAGACATGATATCCGGGTTCTGCATCCCATGAAACCCCGGCCCGTGTGGTTCATGCTCCTGCCTTGTCGTGCTCTTGTTGTGTGCGTCACAGCCTCCCGTCAGGAACGATCCTTTCCCTGCTCTCTTCTCTCGGGTTACATGATTTTTACCTTGATTTATTGTTTACCTCTCCCATCAAAGCGCCGTGGTCACAATGATAGGTCCCATATCAACATAGCCGCTCTACTCATCTCCAAACATGGATAGCTCACAGAGGTCTGTTCTCTTGCTTTGCCTTTGTCGAGCCCCGGCATGCTGATCAATCCGCAGTCCGCAGGGTGGCACGGTGGCCAGCCGTGTTCGAGTTTTCCAGGCGGCCCAGCAACTCGAGACAAGCATCCCACCCTTCTCTCTCCCGCCCCGTGCTCTAGACCAAGCCAAAGGGTTCAGTGCCATCGCTGCTGAAATGGGGAGAAACTCCAGTCTCGCATCTTCAGCTAGAAGAACGTTCAGGGACAGTAGCGAAGGGACCCTAGCAGAGGGACGCCCGCACGCCGCTTCCATTCTTCACAAGGGGATTGAAGGCCATGAGAAAGGAGATAACCACGAGATTGTTCCTTTGCGGCCTTTCACCAGCATGGACGGACCGGATGATGAAAGATCCCCTGCCCGGCGGCCTGCACTGCGCCAAGTCGGTCATCAAGTCCATCGGCATCGCTCAATGGAAAACGTCGCAAACGACCCTGCCCTAGAGATTACCATGGCAAGATCTCGACTTCGATCCGTCGCCCCGAAACAACAGAATCGAGAAGAACCATCTCGCGGTCGCTCCCATACGATGGACGAGTTGAACAACATGTTGGATGACGCGATCAAGAATAGCTCACCCAAACCTGATGTTCCTCCCAATGACCAGCATGGCAATCTCGCGCCCAAAGCTGGCTTCGTCCTTCGTCGAGCATCCGCACGGCAAGATCGTCGCCCATCACAGTCTCGTCCGCGGTCGACGCGAAGGAGCACTGAATCCGTCGTGCCTCGTAGCAGTGAGGAATCAGTGCGAGTAGAGTACGAGAGGAGGAAGGAGACGGAGGATCAGAAACAGGCTGATTTAAGTAGCAAACAGACTCACAAGCCAGAGTCTCCTGTCGCTCCGCAGCTGAAACCAGATGCACTTCCAACCAGCGAATTGAGCCCTGTCAAGCAGAGAGCTGCCCTCTTTGAGAGCCTCAGCCAAAATCTTACGGAACATGATCGAGTTTGTCAACACTTCGGACATGAACATGAACCATCACATCCACATCCACATCACCACCTTCCTCCACGCAAGGAGATCAAGAAGATTCACCGCATCAAGTTTGGAGACACGATTGAGGAAAGACCTGGCACTCCCTTGATTCCCTTGACATTGCCAACGCTTGTTACGCAAGAGAAGACCAGCAGGCCTCCGAGTACATTGAAAAAGGAACATGTCGAAGCCGAAGTCCCTGGGCCTACAGGCGAAGGCGCCGCGAGCGACGATGTTTTTCAGGAAGACAGGAAGCCTTCATTGAGCTGGCCATTTAGATGGAGCATTTTTAACAAGGGCACCTCTGCGCCTCCTCAAGAGACTGAGGGGCTCTCGGACACTGTGGAGGCGAAGGACGAACACTATCCCTCCACGCGACAGAGTATTGTCCGGAGTAAAGTCAAGGATTTGCTTCAAGCTGCAAACGAGAAAAATGATGCAGAGCAGCGACGACGAGACGACGAGAGAGGTCGCCTCAGCCGAAGATCGACCAGAACCCAACCACCACAAAGACAGACAGAAACAAGCCACGACGAGACAAGACAAGAGAAAACCGCCGAGCCAACGTCAATGCAGACTCCCAAAAAAGAGCTATTCCACAACCTGAAAATTCTCGCCGAGACCAGCGATAACAAGCCCACCCCTAGGACTCCTCTACAACGTGCCATGTCAGAGAAACAGGTCTTTGCACCACCTGCACCACCTGATCCGGAGAGTGAATCTGGGTCAAGTCCACGGAAACCTCCGCACACTCCCATTCGTGGAAGATCCATCTCCACCCATCGACCTGTACTGGGGGAACAGAAACGCTCTGTACAGCAGCAGTTCAGCCTTAGCCCCGGACCAAACCGCAGTGGTTCGAAACAGCGGCAGGGTGTCAAGGTCGAGGTAGAGATACGTGACAGCCCAGAGCGCGAGGCTAGGGATAGGGGAGACAAGATTGTCATCATCAGGGCAGACGTCTCCGAGATGGAGGATGATAGATAATCGAGGGGGGGACCATCAGCTGGTAGACAGCTTGACCGTACTTTATCGCGACGCACGGCTGCTGATAAGACGGCGAAAGGGTAAGATGGCATCAGTGATGATTGGCGTGGTTCTGTTGGGCAAGAAAGGAAAGCAGCAAGTCATGTTGGTTGGTATAGGTATGGTGTATCTTAACAAGCACCAAGTGCGGCATGCTTCAAGCATGATTTGACATGGATGGAGTGGGCAAGCAGAGGTCTGAACTATATCGATTGATTCACAGAGCTTCCTGGTTGAAATTCCATTTCGCCTTGACCTTGGTTAACGAGTGTGATTCCAAGATGTTGAGAATAGACCTGAACGGCCGAACGGCCCAATGAACATCCTCGTTCTGACCTGACCTGGAGCGTTTCATTCTCTTTCACCCCCTCGCGCGTACTAATCATTGATTCAGTGCTTGATGTTGTCACCCCAACACAGGAAAGAGAGTAAAAAGCTTCCCTTCTCTTCTCTTCTCTCGCTTCGCGAGACTCCTCCGCCGATTAGCTTTCACTCGATGAGTTTCCTCAGATCATCCCGCCGCTCGATCTCGTCGAGCATTTTGCGGAAATTGTCGTCGTCGTGCTCGTGGGCCTGGGTCTTGAAAAAGGGCATGTTTGAGCGCAGCCACGTCGATTCGGAGCCGGCCTGCAAATTGCACGAGGTAGATGAGTACAGTGAGTACAGTAGTGAGTGAGGAAGTGAGTGAGTAGATGGAAGTTATAGGTAGGGGTTATCCCGGGGGGTAAAAGTAGACTTACATCCGGAATGGTCACGCCGTTCTCCCGCGCCGCGATCATGGGGTAGAAGACGATAAAGTGCATCTTCTTCGCCGTCGCCGTCGCTTTGTCGCCCGAGCCGGTGGCATCGGAGCCGACGACAGCGTACCACTCGGCCTCGATCTTCTCGGCCAGATCGTCAAAGACGGCTTTGGTGCGGGACGCCGACGTGCGCACCATGGCGAGGATCCTGTTCGGGCCCGCGCGGTTGTGCGCCACGGGCTCGCCGGCGAGGAAGTACGTGTTTTCTTCGTCGTCCTCATTATCGTTGGCATTGGTGTTGGCACTGGCGCCGTTGGCATCACTCGCCGATGATTCGGAAGAGAGCGGGTTGGATTTGAAGTTGGAGATGGAGGTGGATTCTGCAGAGAGACGGTGGAAGCTGACGTTGACAAACAGCGACGGCGTCAAAAAGGTCGTCGAGTGCAGGCGCGTGACGGCCTGCGCGAAGCGGTGTTTTTGGGCCCTCGTGAGAGGGTACGTGTGTTGGATCTCGTGGAGCAAGAAGCATATTAGCACCAAGAACCAAGAACGGGGATAGTTGGCATACCATACACAAACAGACACAGAGAGGGAAGGCAGATGGAATGGGAAACAGAATGGCCAAGTGTAGCCAAAATTTGGTGAAGATGACAGAGTAGCAGTATCAAACGAGACGTTGATCTCCCTCATACATAACCACATCACGAGGCTGAAACCCCCTTCTCTTCTCTTTTTCCGCTCCCTCTCCGTTCCCGGGTGGCTACCAGAAGGGGAGACACATAGACAAGCCCCAACGAGCCGAGCAGAGCAGAGTATCGCAGAGCAGATCATGCATATAATAACGACAACAACACAACACAACTCATAGGGGATATTCTTCTGGGTGCTGGCTCACCTCGTAAAAAGGCATCGTGTCCTGGTTGACTTCCGCCTTCTCTTGCCTTGTTCGTCCTCGTCCTTATTCTCTGGCTGTAGCTGGCCAGGAACTTGATGATATCAATGATATCAACTTCTAAAAAGAGGCTTTCCTCGCAACGAGGGAGAGAGAGTGAGAGTGAAAGAGGCTAGGGAGATGCACAGACAAGAAAATCCCTGGGGATCAGACAGGAGTAGCAGACAACACGGAGAACAGAGTACAGAGGATCAAGACGGCGGAGTGTGAAAGTTGACGATATATCGATAGAGGGAAAGATTAGCATTGAAGGTGGAGAGAGAGAGAGACACACACACACACACACACATCAGCATCATAGGGTATCATCATCATCATTATATTCTCCATACCATACATCTCTCACTCTCTCCTCCTACAGTGAATGGATGAATGGATGAATGAATACTAATCACCTACTTACCCTGCCTCTTCCCGCCAAGTCCAACTAACTCCGCATTTTCTCGCCATTGGAGTCCAGAGAACCTCGGGGGACCACATTGGTAGGTGCTCTTTGAGAAGCTTCATCAGACAAGGACATGACAATTTTGATTTGATTGAAAGAGAAATCTTTGACCCATGTATCTGCCTACAAGCTATCAAGGTCAATAGCACCATACCACACCACATTACTAACTGTCGCCGAGAGAAAACTCGTTGCATGACTCATTGGACACTGCACAACTGGGATATGCTGTACAAAGCCGCCAGCTGACCTGTGTGTGACCTCTCCACGATTGACAACAGGCAGACTATTCTCAACAGGCCCTTTCATGAATTCCCCACAAATTTCACGCCAAACTCCCATTACTCACACAATAGCACTCTGCTTTGATTCTCCTTTGTCTTATGCGGGTCAAATTGCCGCACATTGTTGCATTATTCCACTCTTTGGTGGTGTCTTGCTCTTTTTCAAGCGGACATTGACCAAAATCCAACGCTTGAAGGTCACTCCCGATCACCCTCATGATGCGGCTCCTGTTTGTTGTCGTCACTGTTCTGTTGCTCTCCCTCCCCGCCTAAACAATCCTTTGACAGCATTCGCAATGGCAGGACTGGTGACCAAAGCGCACAAGATGCCAAAGAATAAGAATATTCCCAGCGCAATGTAAATGCCCGTGGTGTAGGCAGAGGACGGCGGTGAGACGAGGTTGTTGACGGCAGAGGATGCGGTTGAATCGCTGGATGTTGGTGAACCACTGTAAGTCACAGTAAAGCTGGGTGATGACAATGGCGACGATGTGAGAACCGTGGTCATAGACAGAGATGTCGCCAGCAGAGGCAAGGTGGATGATGGTGATAGTGTTGGGCTTGCGCTTTCGACTGCCGTTGAGCTTGTACTTGTGCTGAGATCGACTTCACTCACAGTCGTTGACGGATCTGAGGCTTGTGAATCTTCGCTTCGCCATTCCGCCCATTGGGGCCTCGTGATTTCCCCTGACACATCGTCCGCAGTGTTGGACTGAGTGCGAACAGTGGTGTCTATCATCTCCATAACCTTTCTGATGAATCTGGCGCTGTTGTCTGGATGCAGGGCTGTCACAATGACGCGGCGATTGGAGGTTGGAGAGGGAAGGTTGGTCGCCGAGCAGGAGATTGGACTGTGGTCCGGTTCGCAAATGTGTGTCATCGCGTTGCTCAACGGGTCGTCAAGGTGAGGTTCACGAGGGAGGAACGGACTCATTGAGAAGGAAAATGACAAGGAAGGCACGTCGAAAGGATAGGCGGCGTGATGAGGATGGAATGGTCTGACTGCTCGCTGTCAATCTGGGGGTTTCCAGTAAGCTCAATTGGAATTGAAATTGGAATTGGCGAATCTCAGCAAAGTGAGTGGGTTGGGCCAACGCGAGGGAGGAAGGGCGTTGGGACAACGCGGTGACCTGCGTTGGACTGACGGTGCAACCGCACCCAAAAGATGTCGGTGAACAGACGAGAAAATCATCACACAGGACAGAGACAAATTCCACCTCTCAAAGAGCCCAGTCGTTGTATGGAAACAAGGCACCTGGCGTCTGAGTGAATAGAGAGGTCATGCATGCATGAGGCTGGGTATCTAGCGATAAGTGAATCAACGCATAAACGCACCAACGCACCCACACTCCTAGAAGCCCGCTTGCAAAGCTGGAGATGGTTCAATGCCGCCCTTTTGGTAGTGTTTGCTTGCATCTTCTTCACCAGTTACTCATTAAACCCGCTCGAGGGATGAATACTAGGCATCTTGCTCGAGAGCGACGTCTGTTGCCGTGGCCGGCGCTGCGCTTTCATGAGACGCACCAGTCTCACCTTCGCCAGCCTGCCCTGTTGGTCCAGGATGTTCCGATATCGCTGGATCGCCTGACGCCGGCTGACCCTTCAGAGGAGCCTCATCTTCGGCATCCATTTGGAGCAAGAACGTTTCCCAGAGTTCGATCAGCTGTTGGCCACGTTAGCAGATATTGCCGTCCCCTGAGACAGTCAGACATACCTCTTTCTGAGCCTCAACGGCACCCTCTAGAAACGTCTCTACGCCACTCTTGAAATCTTCCACCTTTTCCCGCTCAAATCTTTCCAGTTCACCCCTCATTAGTCGGCCCATGTCTTCGAACAATAGTCGAGCTTGGTGGGCTTTCTTCTCCGCGTCGCTAACACTGGCACCAACCTCGTTCAGCTTGTCTTGCTGGCTTTTACCCTGCCTCAGGAGCTTCTCGTGGGCACTTCGTCGCTTGGCCAACTCGCTCTCTGCCGCATGCCATGCATGGAATGCCTTCTGCCGCTGTGAAAAAGCTTGCTTAACACTGCCAATAAGTCTAATATACTCATCCACGGTAATGCCCAGGGTCAAGATATCTTGTTGTGCTTGTCTTTCATAGAGCTCTCGGATCCTCATCTGCACATCCGACAACCCCTGTAAAGGACCGGAGAATGCGGGAGAGAGGTCAACTTGGGCGAGGCTATTAACCGACGCGGCGAACTCTCCGGCAGCGGCGGCAAGACCCTTCCTTTGGTCAACGACAGTGTCGACGGCCTTCATTAGTGCCTTCAACTGGTTTTCTAGAGCGTCAAGGTAGACTCTGCGGTCATGGAACCAATCATCATGCTCGACGAATTTGCCGCTCGACGAACCCACGTTGATCCCGATAGCACTCAGCATCCCCTTATTTTGACCCAGGTCAGGTTCCCGGTTTTCTTTGTTCTTGACATCAATGTTAAAGGCCTCGCTTTCCAAGAAGATCTTGAGATCGGCATCGTGATGGAGGATCGGATGAGCGGCAATCTTGTTGAGCATTCGCTCCAAAGCCTGACGTCTTGACTCGACAAACTCGCTATCGAACCTACCCACGGCTTGTTTTTCGGGCGGGGGAGGGACGACCACACCGGGGTTGTTGTTGTGCAATGCGTTGTAGAGCCAAAGGAAATCCCGATACCGACGTGATACGGCAAATTCAGGCTGTTTATATGCTTTTGACGTTGTCTAGATCCGTCAGAATCTATAGCACCCTTGAACCAACTTACGTACCTTTGTGCGGACTTGGTATACAATGTGACTGCTGGTTAAATCCCCGACCTTGTGCGGGTCGCCCACCGAAATCTCGAAGCTCGGTTTCGCCGCTTGTTCCACGCTCACGCTAGAAGGGGTTTGTCGGGCGGCAGGAGCGCTGGTCTGTGGCTGGACCGGAGGCGGACCCTTGGGTCTCCCCAGAGGAAGCGTGGTATCTTCATATTCCGAACCGGCGAAACCAGGAGAGGTCGCAGAAGGCTGTCGATTCACTCTGGCTGTGAGTTCTTTCCTCGGCGGAGTTGGTGCCTGATCTACAGATATGGAAGACGGGGCTGGAGCCGGATCTGCGCCTAGGGGACCAAGAGGATCGAGGGAATCATCCACGGCTTCGAGCTTGGTCGGTTGGACTTCGATCTTGCGAGCCGGGATCTTTCGAGACGAAGGGGGCCGCGGGCCGGAGGACGGGGTCTGTTTCGCGGACGACGGGGCTATATTTCAGGTGAGCGTCATGGACTCAGCGATCCTGAGAGTGTGTGTTCATACTGTCATTCGGTTTGGCTGAGCTACCGAGTTCTTGTGGGTTATCTGACTGCGATTGAGAGGGAACATCTACTCAAAGTGGTCAGCGAGATTGGCGGCAATGTCCTCGGAAGCAGTCGCCTACCACCCCATGGCGAGTCATCCATATTTGCAGGTATGGAGAGTTGAACCGGGAGATATAGTACTGTCACTGCAGGTCGAGAAAGAGGTGGTGGCTATTGCCTGGATCTTTCTGCACCGCGGAGCAAAGAAGCCAAACTCGCCAAATCCCCGGATGCACGAATGATTGGCCTCCCACCCTCCGGTTCCGCGAACTCAGAGCCAACTAAAAGCGCACTGGTCGGACAGAGACCGGCGTAGTTCAGGCTTTTGAGAATACAATATTAATATTACACAATTCTATATTGTGACTTCAAGAGAAGAAAGGTTAAGAGAGTGTTGCACAACATCTATGTATACTCTCGATCTGTTGCCGTGTTGGAGCATTACGGGTTTTAGACAGTGGCAGCTCGATCAGGCGCACCTCTCTCCCTATCATAGTCCACCTGCAAGCTGAGCTGGGCACATTATACAAGTAATAAGCATCGCTGCCTTGGACCGAACTTCGCTTCCCAATGGTCTGAGCCATAATGACTCCTAAGGCGACGAAGAAAGAGGGCCAGTTGACAGTAATACTGCCAGGCTCCGTGAACAAGGCCACTAGCACAATGTAGCATGATACAGAGACCAATGTTCCAATATCATCTTTGGTTGGTCTTTCGACAAGCACATAATGTACATTGACCAATCTATTCTGAATGGTCCCGTTCGCTGCGATGCAGAGATGCTCCTCAAAGTTGATTATAATACCCTACTTCTTCCCACTCTTTTTCGGCTGCGTCTGCCCATTCTGTGGTGTGTTTTCTTGGCCAAATGAACTGACAAAGTCCAATAGATTGATGTCATCCTCTGCAAATATGTTTTGCTCCTCCTCAAAAGCCGGTTCCCTTGCAGGGGCTGCTTTGCTCTCCGGTGAGGGAGAGGAAGGTGTGGGAGTGGTCTCAACATCCTGCTCAGCCTTTTTCGTCGTCTTTGCACTGTCAAAGCTGGTGCCGAACCGGGCTCGAAAGCTTGCCAACCTCCCTGACTCGTCATCCTCAACGTTTAAGAGCTCCTTCGACGTGGGATTCCACAAGGGAGAATTTCTGGTGTCTCGAGTCGATCGGTACACCGGTATAGGTGAGGTAGTTCGCATGGTGAAAGCACTCCCGTCAGAGAGCGTAACTAGTTGGGTGAATGTATACGGTCGCTTCGGTCGCTTTATGAGTCGTGCGTGCCGACATGCTTGACAGATATAGGTTGTGGAGGGTGTGGCTGAAGGAAGACTCGGTAGTGAGTTGGGTCGCAGGACAGGACGAAGCGCGACCGACATTGCGGTCCTCGGGTGATGCTGTCGAAGGGGGAGTTTGTGAGCAAAGTGATCTGCAATAGATTGTCTTTAAAGGAGAAGTCGATACCGACAGGATTTGGACTCTGCTCAATAGCATCCTGGTACTGGCAGTGACCAAAGATCTCCGCCAAGCCATGGTTTTCAACTACTCGCCTCACTTACCCGATCTGGTAAGATGGCAGTGCCGCCCTTACTGTGATGTGCGAGCGCCGACGACATTAGTAAAAGTATCTACAGCAATCCGGAAATTCTAGTGTTGTATGCAATGGTCAAGAACTGGGCTTCGATGGTATGTTGAAACAGCCCTTGAAGTCAGAGAAAGTCACATTCTCCAGAGGAAGACGCCATAGTCCGGCGGCATATTAGCCACGAGTAGTAAGAGAAGTTGACATCCTAGGCCTCAGGCTGGTCATTATTCTGGGAAATATCATCCCAGTGCTAGGGAGGAGACAGGGCGGGCGAGGAGTTGGTGTGTCAGGTCCAGAGATAACCTGTCAAGCGCGGTTAGATCGACCAGAACCCCAATTGTTTGAGATGTACCGTAGCCACTATTCGTTCGTAATGTATGATTAGGGTGCAATTAAATGACTTTCAACGTCACTGGAGCACTTTCGACGGCCAGCATTTACCTGGAATTGTTACATGTTGGACCGGGTTTGCGTCTTCGCGGTTCTATTCCATCTAGCCGGAACCGGGTATACCGATTCCCACAATATAACCTTACGAGCATCGCTATTTGATCTTGTGCCCCATAGTTGTAGAGGAACCTCCAGTTTCATTTGTCCTCGAGGTACCAGCATTCCTGAAAACACATGCCGTTGACGACACGTTGAAACTACGAGGCAATATTGTTCCAGCGCTGGTTCTGGTGGTACCGTAGTGAATAACCGGCGATTGAGTCCACGAGGACAGGAACGCGCGCCATGGCCTATGACCGAGCATGATAATATTCTTCTGTATGCCTTGCGCGGACACAAGGGCTGTATTGTATACGGATTGCCGGCCGTGCCTGAGCAAGCCCGATATTGATCCATGGTCCTCTCGCTGAAACAGTGCATAGAAGAAGTTTCGTTTACCCCAAGGACGTGTCATCTCTATCCAAGGAAGCCTAGACAGGTGATTCGCACGAGACAATGAGTCCTTCTCAAAACGTAGCCCTTATGACCGGCGCAGGTAGGCATTGACTCTGCTGTAGACTAGACATGGCTGACGATACGTTTCCTCTCAGCCACTGGTTTCGGCCACACAGCCGCTCTAGAATGGCCAGCAAGGGATGGAAGGTGGTCATCGCAATTATCAACATGGTCAAAGGGCGAGAAACAGCAGAACTGGTAAAAGGCGACTTTATCGAGGCTGATGTCAGGTCTTGGGAGGCTCGGTACTCTGCGTTCAAAATGACCTTTGACAAGTATGGCCGGCTCGACTTTGGTATTCCCCAACCATTGCCTGTGTAATGGCAATCGCTCTGCTGACCTGGGAATCTAGTTTTTGCGAACGCAAGCCTGTCAGACCGCTCTGACCCTTTTCACCCTGGAAATGATGATTCTGATCCAGTCCAGCCTCCGGATCTGAATTCAACGGAGGTAAACTTCATCGGTCTAACATATACAGCTCTTCTCGCCGTGAAGGACTTCCGCAAGAACCCCATGGTCGGGGTAGATCTCATCATGACAGCTTGTGGAGCGGGGCTATATTTGACCCCGGTGATGCCCTTCTACTGCGGTGGCAAACATGGTGTGGTCGGATTTGGTCGTGCCATGGGCGGAAGACTGGTGAAAGAGGGGATTCGAGTCCATGTCCTTGTGCCGGGAATGGTTCCAACCACAATAATGATAGAGGAACTTCTTGCTCATATGGATCCTGCCCTCTTTACGTCTCCTGAGCACATAGCTGCTGCAGTGGTGGACATTCTAGAAAAGAGAATCAGTAGAGCAACGTGTGAGGCAAGTGTGAACAAGCTCTTCTATCGCGATCCTCCAGACTTTCTCGATGAGGCGCAAAGGAAGGCGATGGGAGCCAATAGCTGTTGTAGGCTGCAGAATTCGGACGAGGGGATTGTAGCCTGCAGCCTCAGAGGTGGAAGGGATGCCATATTGTACGCAGGGTCGGCGAATCGACGAGAGGAGGAGGGGAGCAGCAGAGCCTAGGTCTGAAAGTAAAGACAAAGACAAAGTCGAAGAGACCTAAGAATGGAGTCCCCCTGACTGTCGTCAACTGTAGGACTCATCCTGGCACAGGACGTACCGTGGGAGTACAGCAGAAATGAGACCGTTGCTATGAGGGTGAGTGAGAGCATGAGCAGGAGGGTTATAGGAGCATGTGAAGAAGATGGAAAGAGGAAGAGTTGCATCTGCCACCAAGATGAGGAACAGAGATTCTTGATCCCTTGTATTTCGAACATGTCCCCTGGGCGACCTACACAAACCACAAAGATCCCTTCAGCCTGGAGGTGATGCATATCTCAAGGGCTTGTACCATCCTTGTGATGCATCGCTGCGAGTCGAGGTCTCGTTAGCGGCCCTCATGAGCGACAGCTCCTGCGCTTTCACCTCCTCTTCGCCGCCAGCATGATCCCTCCCTCTTCTCTCGATGCAGCTGTGCCCAAACAGAACATTCGCTCTCAGCCAACACAGGGCTATGGATCTGAATCTGAGGCTTGGTTTCTGTGCAGCTTCCAAGAAGTGAAAAAACTCAACCTGCGACAGGATCTGGATCAAGCCCTTCTGATATGAAATTGTACCCTGTGGAGCGTCTTCACTACCGTCTCAAGTGCTATCTCGATGAACGGTGGCAGGCTATGACGATGAGCGACGGGCTTCGAGGCCACAAAGGGCGTGATTTTGCCTGGTGTACCGAGTAAAACCAACCCTATCATCGTGAGCGTTTGCCGTCTCAAAAAACTGGGTATTCGGGAATGCAAACCGCGTTCGCTGCTCTCACACCGGTGGCATGATCACGAAGAATTTCCGAGAGGGCCATTGCCTTTCTCAATCCAATACTTGTACCGAGTGCTGAGTACTTGGTATCTTGTCAGTCCCTTGGCGGTGAGACTGGTCGAAGCTTAACACCAAGGCCTGCTTGGAATGCACCTTGGACATTGGATGCCCCAGTCTGCTGCCGTAATGGCTTCTTCATGGCTTCAAGCCCACAATGCCGTAGCCAGCAAAGCTACCACTTGACCTCAAGGTCGCTTGGTTTGGCTTGCTGCTAGGCTACTATCCACTGACTTTATGATCGGTTACAAGTTGGATGGTCGCCAAACCTCCTTTAGGTAAGATTTCGGGGGCACATGATTGGGAGGAGTCCCCCTGACTGCTGCGTCCGAGCTGGGGGCTCCGTCTTCCCATTAGGATCCAACCAGGTTACAACATCCTCTTCCGGTGGGTTTTGCAGTCGTCTTACAGAGGTGTGGTAAGGAAGCTTAATCAGCATTTCCAGACCGTAGATTCGATGAGATACTGAGCAGAGATGCCCGAGATCGTTGGCTGAGAGTTTCGCGATAGATATCCACGAACTTTCGACATCGGTGTTCCACCGAGAACTACATTTATAAGGACACATGGAGAACATGCTCCTTTGGCTGGGCCTCTGAGACGCTTAGGGGAAGACACCCCTGGACAACCGCTATGCAACCATGACAAAGGTCACCCTCCACTTCCTCCCTGTGAGAACCTCGACTCTCAAATGGACAAAGCGAGATGCTGAACTCACCGATGCCGAAGCCAAGTCCCACGCCCGGCGTTCTTCTCATGTGCTGGCTAAGCATCCCAAGCCCAAAGTGCGTGGTCATGAAAGGGTCGGGTCGCAGTCCATCTTGCGACTAAAGCAAAAGACGAAGGTGAGCCTGCCAATGCCAGCAAAAACTAACGAAGAATACCAACTGACACATGTCGCCGTAGAGAGCCGAAAGAACGAGTGCCAATGACACCCGGCGTCAGATCTCGAAGAGAATACAAACAAATATGCCCCTTAGCATTGGAGACCCGGCTGGATGCGATCCTTTCGTCCGCTTTCCGTGCGTGACTGGGTCGGTTGAGCACAAGTTGTTCCATTTCCGTCAGCTTCAAGACTCCTACTACCCTCTCTTCTGTTCTCCCCAAACTAACGGGTTGATGCTGGTTCATAGTCATGTCGTACGTGCCTGGCAGATTCTACGCCACGAAACCTTGGGCAGCATACGACGTGCTGCGAGACTCGGTCATGCCCGAGATCCTGACCGGGAGTGCATACATGTCTCTTGCTCTGTACATTGCTGCGTCCATTGTGAACACGCTCAAGCCGCAACCGCAGTTCTCGGAAGAGTGGATGCTCACCCGTCAGTCGACAAACTATCGACTATTGAGACAGCTGCTGAAAAATCAGCAGGGTCACCCATGGGACTGGGCCATCACATGCATTGTCGTGGCGGGTTACGCTGAATCCATGGCCGGATTAGCAGACCGGGGCCGAAAACACACCAAAGCCGGCCTCGTTATGCTGCAGGACTTTCGGAACCTCCAACGCATGAGACTTTCTTCAGGATCCATCGCTTTCAAGGTCTTTCTGCAAACCGGAGTGCCGATGATGTTCGCGACAAGTGCTGCGCTCGAGACGGCGATGAATAGTGCATGTCAGAACCTGCGGCGAATCCAATCTTGGACGCGTCTAAAGCGGAGAGCACGTTGCTCTAGCCTCCATTGTCAGTATCATTCCCCTGAATCGGCAGCAAACGACGAGGCCACGGAGCCAGCAGTGAGCTCGAATGGACAGTGTCGTTATTGGACTGCACGGCAACGTGCACTTGGGCCGACAACAGCCATGGGCCGCTTACTGGCACCCAAGCCGATCCAAATGCCCATGTCGGACGAGAGGCTAGTGATGGCAACCATCTACGCTCTCAACGGCATCCTCTGTAATCTGCAAGGCGACGACGCTGCAGCAGAAACCTTTTTAGCCAATGTTGGCGAGATGACGGTGAACAGTCTTGACGAGGGCGTCGACCTGAGTGTGCCACCACGATTTGCCCTGCAGAACTGTGTCCACATTGTTATCGCCTGCGCCGAGAAGCAGGGCCTGTGGTTCTACCACGGTCCAGGACATGCGCTCCCCGCCATGCGCACCTGGGAGGCGCTCGAGTTTGTGGAGATCACGATGCTGACGTCGCCCGCGAAGCTGCAGAAGATCATGGCTGCGTTGCGAGGTTGGCTTTGCTGGCAACCTCAAGAGCTGACGACGGGAGGAGGAGATACATCCCTCTTCAGCGACGACAAGGAGCTGCAAGAGTTCAAGGATGAAATCATCGCCAACTGGAAGGCCAGAAGAGGTTCAGGGACTTCGAGTCGAGAAACAGCCACGCATGCAAAGCACCCTTGACAGTCCAGCTCCGGGTACAAGAAGGTATCCACAGCGACTAAATGCCGCTGCGACCTCATGACAGTATATATACCGGTCGTTCTATGGTCCCCGTTCTCGGTGTACCAGAGTTCATGGTAGAGTGACGCGTCCTGCTCTGATATTCATGGCAAGAGACCACACTTTTTTTTTTGGCTCCTGGTACAAACATGCTGACCAGTGGGATCAGGCTGGAGTGCTGGTTCTTTAAGTCTACTTCTTCAAGGGACGCTTGGAGAATCCGAGGACTTCGATCACCGAGCCCTCCTGTTTCCCCCCTCCGAGGATGGCCGTCTCCTGATATTCCATACTCCAAGTCATGGCTGTGGAGGTAAATACAGTGCGACGACAAAACAACTTTTTGGTGATAACCTCCATCAGTCGTCGTTTCCCCTTTCTCATGCTATTTACACCCTCCAACAACTTTTGAAAGGAGAATTGCGTGTCTTTTGTGCGCGTCAATATCTGAACTATGTTAACAAGCAAACACTGGCGGAATACGTTGAGGTTTGCAAGTGGTGAATCAGTCGCCTCTGATTCTTGCCGAGCGACACCATTCCCAACTGGCGCCAATGGCAGGCAGACAGCAGAGGCGGGTGTTCTGAGATGATAGATAGGACGGCCGCTCTCTAGGATGCGGGCGGATGTGTTGTTTTGAGGGATACGAGTCTCGAATCGGTCTCTATACAACATTCAACTCATCGGTCCACCATTTGGGCAGTACTCCTTTGGGACCCCCCTTAGGGACGGCGTCTGCTCAACAGTGTCGGTATCTGCGTGAATCTCCTTTAGTGGAGTCGTTGACGGCCATTGATGTCAGGGTGGTCCTAAACATGGTCTCGAGGGGGGAGAAAGTTTCGTGGATCACAGATAGAATCCGATCCTTTGATGTTCGAGACTACAGGGAGAGAGGCTTCCTCCCATAGACATTGTAACTGAATCACGTCAGCCGTTTCGTCTCTTTCCTACTATTGGTGTCTGATGTCGGCACTTACTAGAAGATATAACTGTGCATTCGCGGATTGCGCAGTTCGCGTTTCGTCTCGGCAATGAGGACTTGCAATTCGTCGGGATCGCCCCCCAAGACGGCGGTGTAGCCGCGAAGAAGGTAGGCGTCGAGCCCGTTCCTGAGGCTGAAGTTCTCGTAGGCGCCGATCTCCTTGAGCCTGGCGTCTCTGGGCCAGATGCCCTGTGGCACCTTGTAGACGGACTCGGAGACGTCGACGAAGCCGGCGCGCTCCATCTGCGCCTTCCACAGCGTGGGCGCGTTCAGCGACGCCCCCATGGCCTCGGCCATCTCGAAGAACAGTCTCTGGACTTCCTTCAGGTGCGAGTCGGCCGGCAGCGTGCCGTCGTCCGACGTGGGTGTTGGGTACGTGCCCCCGACTTCCATGTACGCGCCGGGCCGGAGGTGGTCGAAGGCCTGGCGGAACAGCCGGTCCCAGTCGCGGATGGCCATGATGAGCTCGCGCGCGTGGATAAAGTCGAAGTTGGTGGTGGAGAAGAGCCATTCGTCCTCGATGTCCTGGACCTCGAATTGGCAGTTTGGCGGCACCCATTCGGGCTGCACGGGCGCGATGTCCACGCCCGTCACAGAGGCCGTCTCGTACTGGTCGGCGGCTTCGATGGCCCAGATGCCTGACCCGGTGCCCAGGTCCAATATCCTCGCCGGCGCGGGGAGCATCGGGGCACGGTGCAGCCGCCCGCCGATGATGAGGCGGAATTTGACGTGCTGGATGTTGTTGCGCTCCTGCTCCCGTTCGTCGATGGGGAGGCCGTACATGTTTCTGCCGTAGGCGGGGTACTGCCGGCCATTTTCCTCGATGCCGTGGCGGATGTGCGATTCGATCGAGGTCACGTAGCTGCTCGCATCGTCTGATACTAACGAGGCGTACGTTTCGTCCTCAAAGGACTGAGTTTCGTCGACATGGATAAGATCCTCATTGTGGGCTGCCATCAGGTCTAGCAAGGGCTAACTTGTGCGAGTAGTAGCCAGCTAGAGGTGCTTTAGAGTGGGAAGCGGAGGAGTGTGTTTGAACGGGGCGTGACGGGGAAATCGAGGGGCGATAAAGGATCCTGGATTCCGAGCCTATTGTGAACTAGTAGCGTGATCCATCGACGAGGCGATGTCGGCTACTTTTCGCACCATCGCGAAGGTTGAGAAAGAGGGGTTACCAGCTCCATTTTGCGATAAACCTTCAACCCTTCCTGAGACGCGATTCCGCAAACGGGACCGGGAAGTATCATGGCGCCACCCTCATTGCCTTCACATGTTGACATGGACGTCGTCTCCAAACTTTTGCAAGATGTGAATGAGCATGTCCAAGCCCTTGGCTCGGGAGACCTCAAAGCACGCGAAGCAGCGGTTGAGGCTTGTCGGTCGCTTGCCGCAACCCTGGAAACTCCCAGTGAGGCGGTGGTGAGAATGACATGGGTCGAGGTCAGCATGTCGTACCATCTACCGTTGACATAGGCATTTCTCTCTGACCCTGAGCGACCACAAACAGCCGAGCCATCTTGCAGCGCTGCGCATGGCTGTTGATCTGCGGCTCTTTGATCATCTTGCTGCAGACCAGGGTTGTCCGAAAACCAGTGATCAAATTGCGGCAGCGTGCTCAGGGGAGCCATGGTTGGTTGGTTCGGCCAGCCCATTGACCACGCAAGGTTTCGTGAAGGGCACTGTCTTCGTGCTGACACGAGCATCGACTCCTAGACCGAATGATGAAGCATCTCGCTGCGATGAACACCCTCCGTCAAGTCGATGTAAACAGCTACGTGCCAAATCCTTTTGCACAAGCCATGACGAAATCCATCTTTAGGGAAAGCATTGTTTTGATGTGCGTTACTTGACACGAAGCGATAACCTGATCCCCTTCACATGAAGCTGATAATATGACCGGGGTGCTGGAGAATATAGGCACGATATCTGCATCCCGATTAACCTGAAGACAGCGGAGTTCTTTGCAGAGAATGGCTATACAAGCCCAACCAATGCACTCGACACACCGACGCAACATACATTCAATGCAAAGGGGAAAACGCATATCTTAGACATATTCGCGCAACAGGGCCAGACCCATGGACTTGCCAGTATGATGGCTACGTGGATGCTCGACCGGCCGCATTGGTCCGACGACGACTTGGGATTCTATCCTGTGAAGGAACGACTAATACAGGGCGTGACGGGCGACGAGGAGTCCGTCTTTCTGGTGGATCTCGGAGGTAGTGTAGGGCACGATCTGGAGAAGTTTCTCGTTCGACACCCGTTCGATACCTTCCCAGGGCATCTGGTCCTTCAAGATCGTGCTGAAGTTATCGAATCGATCCCCGAGAATAGCTTGAGGGCTGGGATTCGCGCAATCGCCCATGACTTTTTCACCCCACAACCCGTACAAGGTAAGTACAGTAATGATTCTGTTTTGTGCACGAAGCCACTCCCAAGGCTATAGCCTGTTCGTCTGGAATACACGTTAAACGACTTGCAGGGGCGAGAACGTATTTCTTGCACAGTATCATCCATGACTATCCCGACGACAGGGCACAGCTGATTCTGAAGAACATCGCTCGAGCAATGAAGAAGGGACACTCCAAACTTATCATATGGGATTTCGTGCTTCCCGACAAGGCTCTGGCCTCGACGCTGACAGCTCTCGATTGGGAAATGATGTCCTTTTACGCCGCGAGTGAGAGGTCGGAGGGTCAGTGGAAGACACTGCTTGAGGATCCCGAGATTGGGTTGAAAGTCAACGGGATCTGGAGCTACAGTCAGTTTGACCAGAGCGTGATTGAAGCAGAACTGGCTTGAGCTGGTACTCATATTCTCTTTATAGCTGAGTCAGTTTCCATGCCGCCTTTCATGAGGATAGAAGTTTAGAGACACTGGTATATCTGACCCAGGCCAGACCTTGGGTCCTCACCTTCAACCTTGAGTTGACTGCTCGTGGTTTGAGCCCATGCTGAGCAAACCCTTTTGTAGATGGATGAATTCGAGGTTCAGTTAGGGACGCGTTCAATAGGTCTGGTATCCAAGATGCCTTAAGGTGAAGGCGTTTTGAGAGGGAAAGGTAAAGACTTGTTGTTCAGGGTCTGGGTGCTTGTGGAAGGGAGTATTTTGATAATGCCAAGGCTTCGCCCACATTGAGCGCAGTAAAGGCGGCAGGGCGGGTCCCTGGCCTGCGCCCGCATGTTGTAAAGAGGCAACTTGTTGTCGTCTCCAACTGCGGCTTCTCCTGGTCTGTAAATTTGTCGCTTGCCCATGCGAATCTAGATCACCCTTACCTGATTGCCTGGCTAACTACCAATTCTCCCCTTCCATGGTCCGCCTGATAACCACTGATCTCTCCTTCCGTGCCGCACTCCGCCTAACATGTCCGACCCAAAAGTCGCGGCCGATTTTGATGCAATCATTCAGGCTGGTATTTCGCTCCCCGTACTCCTCTTTGCGCTTGACGGACCGACCGCCTAACGGGATTTGCAGACCGGCAGCGCAAAAGAAATGAAGCTCTAGCGAATGAGATCTTTGGCAGAAACAAAGCGAACAAGAACACCCCGAGGAGCGCAAGCAAAGGCTCTTTAAGGACGCCAGACCTTGCGAGTCGCATCACAAAGGTATAACTAAGCAGAAAGCCCCGTCAAGCTGGAGGTGTTGTCCGGTGTCCTTGCTGATGGGAGCGGCCGGTATAGCGATCTTCGTCTGTTACAAGTTCAGGCTCTTCCCGTAACATTCTATCCACTCCTCCCTCACGGCCCTCCTCGACCACCCCTCAAACTGCACGCTTATCTCGCCTCGCCTTTGCTCTCGAGTCTTCAGATGCGAACATTGTTTCCTCTCAACCAAATACAAGAGGCTCAGGCATAAGCATCAGAGGCAAGGCGGGGCGCTTCGTGGTAGAGGCCAGCAATTTCGCCCCCGGTACCACGGCCGCCGATATCGAATCTGCGCTACAGGGGGAAACTTTGGACGAGAATGGCGTTAGCGGAATGCTCTCATGTCGCCTTGTCAAGACAAGTCCAGTTGTTGTCGCGGAGCTGGTGTTTACTGAGAAGCAGATTGCGGAGCAGATTATATCCACTTACAACAACCAAAAGGCAGACGGACGTATCTTGCGGCTCTTCCTCAAGCGATCTGGACTAGGTTCTACGGCTACTTCACAATCCAACCAACTCGCCTCCAATCCCGCACCTGAATCGCTGATATCAGAAACACAACGTCTCCCAGATAATGGGAACACTATGGAAGACATCGAGATGGAAACCGAGGCCGCGACCTCTTTCGACGATCGACGCAACCTGGACCCTAAAAACGCTGAAGCGGACGTTCAAGATGGACGCTACGGAGTCGAAAAGCCGCAGTCTTCGGATACACATACGCGCCAGACTGACCGAAGGAGAGACGATGATCGACGAGATCGAGATCGCAACTACGAGCGTAGCCATGACAATGACCACGAACAGGAACGAGAGCGAGAGAGAGAACGTGATCGAGAGCGGGACCGCGATCGAGAGCGGGATCGGGATAGAGATCGAGATCGCTATGACCGTCGCGATCCTCGACCTGCGGGCCACGGCTCCTATCGTCGAGGTGACAGACTTGATGCCTACAACTCACGACCCTCACACTACGGCAATGGAGTCGGCGGAGGTCCCGGATTCGGGAGAGGGATGTTTGGCGGTGGTGCACCAGGCCCCTTCCCACGAGGTGGCGGTCGGATATACGGCGACGACGGGATGCGTGGCGGTCGGCGAGGCGGCGCACCAGGCGGGTTCGGACATAGTGGTTATCCAAGGAGAGGAGGGTACTAGTGATGCCCCCCTGCGTCTATGTGTTTAGACCTACCTGGAGCTTGCGACCAAATTGAGGCAGCGAGCACCTTGCTCGTTATAGCCGTGGACCAGCTCCGGCCACACTACATTGTGCTGTGCTGTGATCTCTTTCCATCGGTGGTCCCAACCCAGCCTTCAATTGTACTTGTACGATGGCGAAGAAAGGAAAAGCAAAAGGAAGACCTCATCGGGCTCGGCTTCGGATCATTACCTTTCCAATCGACAGAAAACCCAAGACTGCCATGTCTGCGGACCACGCACCGCAGTGCAGAGCCCGTCACAACCTTATGCCAGGTTATCCCGTCCAGGCAAATGAATGAACGGGTGGGAGGGCAGAAGAGAAGAGAGCGGGAAAAGAAAAAACAGAAGCAAGAGATCCCGGAAAAGACCAAGTGGAAACAAAATTCGGACGGAAAAGATCTCCCTTGCGTGCTTGTGTGTGCGTGACTGTGACTTTATTACAACGCCCGTGAATGCAGTATCGTAGCATATCTTGTCTGTTTCCAGTGTCCCGTCCCTTCCCATCCCATCCGCCTCGGGTCAGCCAGTGACGCTTTTCGCCCGTAGTATTCTTCCCTGAGTAGCCAATGTCTCGAGCTACGCCACCACCTTCCCTGAATGTGTGGTTATCAGGCAAGAAAGAACCCATTGTGCATGTTGATCAATCAAACAAAACATAAACGGAATCTAATCCCAGGTATCCGTCTCCCATGGAGCTCAAAGCCCACCATTGCCCGTCACTACCCGTGAAAACGCCTTGCTGACCGTTCCATTACACCCTGTCCCATGTTCTTGTCTGTCTCCTTGAAACGCAACCCAGCCTTCGTATCATCAAGCATGACTTCCGCAACCACATAGACTCCTGCGTCTCGGATCGAGGGAAGGCGGCTCAATCACTCTTCAACATGCTCTCCACCAAATCCCCGAGAGGCCCCCAGTAATCCTTGCCCCCGCCCTTTTCAAGACCGTGTTCATCCACGAATAGCACGAAGTGCTTGAAACTCGTGTTCAGGTGCGGCTCCAGCCCGAGGTGCACAATGACTTGATAATGGTGGCAATAGATGTGTGCGTACACGCGGTAGAGACGCTTGAAGAGTTGTCGTACGGTCGAGGGGAAATGTTTAGGGAATGGGACGCCGATTCGGGAGGGGAAGGTGCTCTCGTTGTCGATATTCGACTGCACCCAGGTCATGAGATGTTCAATGTATTCCGGGGCTGGCATTTTAGTGGGCTTGGGGAAGCCGGTCGCGGCATCTTGCCAAAGATATTCGAACCTACATGCAGCGTTAGAGGTCGCAAGTTGAGTGCTGCGGTAAAAGTGGCGCAAGATTCGCCAAACATAAGGTCAACATACTCATCAGTGGCTTTCATCTCTGGGCAAGATTGTGGTGAGCAGAATTCTGTGATTGATCCATAAAGCAGGTTGATCTGATTGTAGAAATCGACCACTGTCATCCTGTCAGCGACTACTCTCTGCAAAATCTCTTATATGACCCTGGCTAGGAGGCATGTAACCTTACCGTTCACTGCGAGCCACTCGTTCAGATCTTCTCCCTCGGGCAATTTGACAGCCTTTCTCAGGCTGCCGCTTCCCAAGGTCGCTTCGGCGAATTGTCTCAGCTGATAGCTTGAGGTTCCCTTGTTGGCGCGTTGCGGTTTGAACTGGCCTCGAGTGCGGGCATTGCTAGATGGTGAAGAACTTCGGTCAACATTGTTCGAGGAAGGGGAAGAAAACAGGCCCAGACGGAGGAGTTGGACGGCGCGGGAAGGCGTGCTGGGTGAAGCCGTGGCTGTGTTTGAAGCCTCCTTCTCTTCACTTTTGTCACACGAGGTGTAGGAGTTGATGGTAATGCATGAAGAGGATTGTTTCAAGGTCAAATGAGGGGATAGAGGCTGTGGAGTGGGAGAGGAATTGAGAAACTCGTACATGGTGGTCAGAAATGAAGCCATGCGGGAGGATAGTGATCTGGTCTTCGACTGTGGGAGAGATTGCAGGTCAAATCTCTATCAGGACGCGGCGATATCTACTGCACATTCCAGGAGTCAGTGGTCAAAGTGTCCTGAAGATGTGAAGTTGTGTCTGGCGCCCTACTCACAGACAATCGCGCGACCGCCTTCCTTTCTTCAAGGCGCGGTCAATACAGACAAACAAAGTTGCTCGCGCAGGGTGGAACAATTGTATGGCAGAAGTGTTCGCACAGGCTGAATTCGATATGAAAGATCACGCCTGCGTCGTCCATCATCATCATAAGTCGGCGATCCTTCTTGCGGGAAACGACAATCGGAGGTTGAATCCCTTGGCGACCAAGTAGCCACAGCAACAGGGAGAACTTCGGCATTTCAGCCTCACCATCAATCGAGGAATGCAATTAGTACAAGGAATCCAATGTTTCCATGTCGACACTGTACACTAGGCGCAGGAGCAGTGGATTATTGACCAATATGGAAATCTGTAGTCTGGCAGTTGGCCAGATGATGTCCTACCAGCTTCGACCATTTGTACCTAAAAGTGACTTCCGGCTTTGCTCACGAGTCCCCATCGTATCCTTTTCCTGCAAAGCAGTCCACGGTGGCTTCCTCTGCAGCCCAAGCCTATCCACATATACCTCGCATATGACATACACTTTGGTAAAAACAGACATACAGCGTGAAAGTGCCACGCAGGACCGCAAGTTCGCTAAACATCAGACCTAGATCCACCCGCTTGTCTCCACCATCGCTCACAACTTTGGAGACGTCATAATATCCTGCACGAGGCTGCGGACTTCACTCTCAAGCTCTTGGGTCTCCTTGTGTGGATCGTACATTTTATCCTTGATCCATGCTTCCAATTGACTGTCGCTCATCTCGCGCAGATGGTGCAGACGGTCCACATTGTCTTTCTGTGCCGCCCGGATGACGTACAACGCCACACGAGCACTAACATCTCGAATGCGTGTGATCGAGGGATACATCAATGCTTGCGCCTTCTCCTCCTCGGTT